TTGGATTTGAATCAGGAGGAAGGTAAACAAACTAAATCAATGGTGAATTGTCTGTTCATATTAACAGGGCTGGCTTCTTTAACAGGTTTGAGCAGCAAGCATCAAAGGTGCATTCCCCCCCTCGCTCCGTACAGTGGTCAAACCGTCCACTGCAACAGCTTGATGGGGGGGATTGATTGAGATGATGGATCCACTCCGACCTGTTGCTGGGTAAACCTTATTCATTTTACCATACATTGGCCAGGAGCATTCTTAAATGTCATCTATTATGCAAAATCCACTTTTTCATGTCTTTTATACATAAATGTGTCCCCTCTGTGTAAAGAGATTCTGAAAGTTTCAGGAAAAAAGATCGCTCACTTTTTGTCCAGGGGCCTGTACTACGAATCAGGATTTTCGTTTAGCAAGCTAACTTCAGGGATTTCCAGGCCTTACGACGCTGGTTCACTTCTTAGTGGGCTAGATAACTTATGCTGAACGGCTATCCTGCTCTGGAGCAGGATAGGTTCCAGGATAAGAGATCAACTGTGCAGAGTTCTTCTTCTTCTTTGCTTTAATGGCGAATCGCTTCCACTTGGAGCATATATCGCCACCTACTGTTGATTTATTTAATGTCCATGTTAAATCCTTGTCCTCAGACCGTTTCAATAAGGATACATCTATTACAGGTTGAGGTAGCAACCATGGTGGAACAGCTGATAACAACAGTGTGCAGAATTTAAAGCAATCAAGTCATATTACAGGATAAAGGAAAGACGGCCGGCCAAAATCACCGACTGTGTGAACGTGAAAATTAATAGAATATCCCCTCCCATCTTCAGAGCAATCTGACTATTATAACATTAGCGTTAAGAAAGCTTACTTAAATATCTGCCACGACATAAGTAACCGGATCAAAGTAACATTACGTACAGTCCGCGGCACTGTGAGTGCAGACGTCGATGTGTCCCATTATCATTCATATCATATCACATCATAATGTATCATATATTTCCTTATTTGAGTCAGCTTCTTGAGCCGTATCTGGCCGTGCAACACTCACAGTGTCACATACTGTATGCAGAAGTATTATTTTAAGCAACACATTAAGTTGACGAAACACTCGAGTCAAATGTAATTAAAGTCAGATCGTGTCTTAGACGGGGCAGTGATATCATAAACCTGTTAATGTACGCATTCAAACACTTTCTGTTACCAGCTGTATGCACCTTGCAGGTGCAGCTATGTGGCTTTTATCCTGGATAAAGGGTTTAAGTCATGGATGTTTAAAGTTTAACTTCTTCATATGTCTAATATTATAGTTGACTTTTCATTCAGGAAGTATGACGCTGCGCTGTCAGTACGCTTGTCCATGTTTGTGATTGGTTGATTGCTCCAAATACCACCCCTTTCATGTGAACGCGCACCTAACTAGATAGGGTACGGCTGGCTTGAGCGATCGAGTTGATAGCCAGCGTCGTAGGACAGTTTAGCGAGAGCGGGTTTGTTTTGGATTTAGTCAACCGGATAACTCAAAACATATCCAGGATATGTTGAACTAGATTCGTAGTACAGGCCTCTGGTGTCTTAGCAGCTTCAAGAAACACAGGATAGAACAGATATGAATTCACACAAGGAGACAAATAAAATAAATGTAATGTATATAACCAAATTCTGCAGTCCACATTTTAATCTTTTAAAAAAGCTTATGTTTGAACAGTGAAATAGCACTCATCGTGAGGACTTTGGTTTCTTTGTTTTACTTCAATCCCACAAACTGAGGGGATTTCTTGCAGAGTTGAAAAACTAAAGTGAGGAACGAAAAAAAGGAATGAAGAAAGGACAGAAAGAGGAGAGGGAGCTTGAAAATCAGTTTTAATAAATAAATACAAAACTATATTAGATAGTATCGGAGTGATGAAACCCTCTTTAATGGTCACACATGCAGAGCACACAGCACACACAGTGACACTTGTTCTCTGCTTTTAACCCATCCTAGGAGCAGTACTTGGTCACATTTATTAGTTTAGGGTTAGAGTGAAATATTCATTCAAAAAGTTAAGTCATTATTGATGTGAATGTCGGAAAGTTGAGTAAAAACAAATGTTTACCTTTTGAAATGTATCAATGAATAATATTAAAATATACCTGAAGAAGGTACTTATGTGAAACACTACTTCAAGTGCTACATCAAGTGTACTAATCCAATGCAGGAAGTGGTGTAGTGTATAGTGCAGATGGATGTAGGGAGGTGGGGGGGTGGAGGTGTAGCCCCTCTAACCCTCCTGCAGCAGACTGCAGATCACATGCCGTCACAGAGCTGCATCTAATTTGCCTTTTTAATCACCATTACCAACATTACTTAACTGTAGTTTACATATGCAGATATTTGTTTCTCCTCAGGTGATAAGAATGATGTCCATATACAGATGTCGGGCAGCTTTCTCCACAGAGAACATTATTAAAACCAAATATGGTTCCAGACTCCCCAATGAGCACCTACATATGAACACCTAAGAATGGCAACAACTTAATCAAGCCGAGGTTTGAGATCACGACAGGAAATCTCACTCTATAATAGAGGGAAAGGATGAGAAAAGTAACTGCTCAGTTGTTATCATGTGATGAGGTTATTCATTTTCAAATTAATTGTACGGTGCTATTATCCCTTTATGTAAAATACATATTTTCATAAATGTTCCAAAATGTATTTTTGAGGTACTTTAATATGCTATTTATGTCACTTAGATTTAGTTTAAATGCTGCTACAAATCTATTTTAGCCATGGTTGTGTACTTATAGTCTTCATTTTTATTTCATTACTAATGTCCTCTTTTCTTTTTATTATTGCATGCCTTGTTTACCTGCTATGCCACTTTTGCTCTTACACTGTTCATTTCCCCACGGTGGGAATCATATTTTGAACATGTAATAACAGAGGCAGCATTTTCTAAAAGTCATCACTAGGAAAATACTGTTAAATATCTGCGCTTAGGTTTGTCTGTAGTGTGAGTTTGAACAGTTATGAACAGGTTTGCATCCCGTCTCTCAGCAGACTTTATGCACATTTGAATATTGTCACCAGGGAAATAAAGAGGTCAAACACAGCTCCCTCCTCCTGTTGGGCGTCATTAGGATGTCTGCGCCTCACAAGCAAGTGCATTCAGGTCTGCACCCAACTGACACCCTGACACTCCCATCTAATGAAACCAGGTCTTGGCACTTATTCAGGAAGCCGACACATTAATACTTATAAAGTTCTTATAAAAAACCAGGAGCATGATCTGTTGCTAATGCTAATACGGCTTTGTAATCTTCACATTTACCCTTTGCTCATAAACGTTGATGTATATTTGACCTTAGCATCGTACTCTGCCCGCCTGTAAGAGACAGTTTTCATATCTGCAGATATTTTGTATATGCTTGTATAAACAATAACAGTGCGTCAGCCGTGTGAAGTATTTGCCCGCGGGGCAGACAGCACAAACCTCCTTTGTTTCATCCGAAGAACAGAAGTTGTATTGTGGTTAAGCTGTTTCGCTCCGATGGAATGTACTGTTGAGGGAAGCCAATTGAAACACACACACACCTGTTTTGACTGCGGAGAGCATCGCGGTTGTCATAATGAAGGCTGCTAATTTCTCTGAATTGTCAGAGGTGAAGATTTATTTATGGCATTCAAAATGTTCTCACTGATTTACGGAGCAGGAGGAAGTGTGTTGAGTATGTTGAGTATGCAAAACTCGTCATATACTCGCTTGCTTTTATGAGGGTGGTGGTCTGTTAGTTTATCCATTCATACAGCACTTCAATTCAGAGGAGAAATACTACTGTTCAATTGCTTTCAAAAATAACCTTTATATACATCTCATATACCTTAGGTCAGGGTGTCTGAACTTATTTCACTGAGAGCCACAAACAGACTAACGAAGGGCTGGGCCCCTCACTAGACGTGAGGGAGCTCCATGCATGCTGGAGAGACACCAGGGACCTCTCCCACTCTGCTGCCATGCAGGATCCGGCGTAGGGTGGGGCTGGGTCGCATGCCATCCATTGAGCCTGCCATCGCCTCCCCGATTCTGGCTCCTGATGAGGCTCCAAGGCCCGATGCCAGGTGCCAGGTGCCCTCAGCCTCAGTGCAGAGTCACAGACGAACTGCTCTGTAAGGCGTACAGTGGCACACATGGGTCGTATCGGGAACTCCCTCTCCCATCTGATGCTGGCAGTCTCTACCTCTCTGCAGCAGGCTCTGGCTGAGCCTTCTTTGCTGGGCCTCAGTGATGCATCACTGCAAGCCTTTGCCCTAATGTCTAGGGAATTGGGACGAGTTATGTCCTTATTGGTGCAGACTCGTCGCCAGGTTTGGCTTGCTCAGTCACCACTGTCGGAGACATGTCCTCCGTAGTGTGCCAGTCGAGCCAGGGGAGCTGTTTAGGGCAGCTGCCCTGGAGGCACTGGAGCGTGCTGCCCAAGCTAGGCGGACCAGGCAGCAGCTCTCGGGTCTTCATAGGCCTGTGCCCACTCCCAGCAGGCCCAGGGGCACCTCTAGCAGCCACACTCAGCCACCAGCTTACAGTGGTGGTCTGCGGAGGTCCCATCGGCCCACTCTACCGCCTCCCGGTGGCTTTGTTGCCCCCGGTCGCCAGCCTTCTAGGCAGCCTCGCCGGGGGGCTAGGCCCTGAAGTCTCGGGGCCGGTCGTCGGCTGCTTTTCCCAGCAGCAGCTCAGTTACTGGGCTGTCTGTACTTCCGACCCTTGGGTGGTTTCCACCTTAACCCAGGGGTACGAACTGCAGTTCCAGCCCCTAGCCTTCGGCCGTGTCAGAATGACAGTTGTCAGCGATCCGGCGAAGGCCTTAGCTCTGGCCCAAGAGTTGTCCGTCCTCTTGGCCAAGGGCGCAATCGAGCCAGTAGACCCTCTGCTTCAGCCGGGGGGGTTCTACTCGGCAAGAAAGTCGGCGGATTTCGTCCGATCTTGGACCTCAGAGGAATCAACAGATTCCTGAAGGTGCTGCCATTCCATATGCTGACCACAGCACATGCACAGGGGGAGTGGTTCTCAACCGTGGACTTGAAGGATGCCTTTCAGGGCCGACACTATCAGTTCCGGGTGCTTCCCTTTGGTCTCTCCCTCTCTCCAAGGGTGTTCACCAGGGTCGTGGCGGCAGCTCTCGCACCCCTGCAGGCGCAGGGCGTGAAGGTCCTGCCATATTTAGACGTAGCCCGGTTGGGTCTAACAGTAAACACCGGGAAGAGTTGCCTGGACCCTTCCCAACAGGTCACTTACCTGGGGATGGTCCTAGATTCGGTCGCCATGAGGGCCTACCTGTCACCTCGTTGTGTGGACGACTTTTTTTCTACCTTCTTCCCATCTTCAGGCTGGGCAAGATGGTGCCTTACATTCAGTTCCTCCAGCTCTTGGGCAGACTGACGGCTGCCTCAGCCGTTGTGCCCTTAGGCCTGCTGTCGCTGCGCCCCATGTAAATGTGGCTGAACAGCCTTCACTTGGACGCCAAGTGGCACAGGCACAGAAGAGTCAGGGTGTCTCAGCGGTGCCTCCACTCTCTGTCCCGCTGGAGGGACAGGGCCTATCTTTTGATGGGCGTGCCCAGGGGCGCCATCCCATCCCGCCGGGAGACTGTCACTGCAGATGCATGTCTCTCAGGGTGGGGTGCAGTGTGGCAGGGCAGGACTGTTCAGGGTCAGTGGTCTGCCCAGGAGTGTGCACGCCATGTCAATGTGCTAGAGCTTCGGGCTGTGCAGCTTGCACTCACGCACTTTTTTACCCCAACTGGGGGGCAAGCATGTGCTTGTTCCTTCGGACAACATGCCCACTGTTGCCCAGACTGCAGTCCCTTCTAGATAGTGGACGTTCTCACTCCACTTTAAGAGTTTATGTGGCTGCTATTATGCCCGACATGTTCGGGTCGACGGCGCCACGGTGGGGAGCCACAGGTCAGTGTCCCTCTTCCTGAGAGGGGCTTTACGGCAGCGTCCCCCTAGCACCCCGAGGGCTCCGGCTTGGGACCTGCCCCTGCTGCTGGATGCCCTATCATCTCCTTCCTTCGAGCCCCTGGCCCAGGTGGGGCTTAAGTGGCTGTCCACGAAGGCAGCATTTCTGCTTGCCATAACCTCAGGGAAGCGAGTTCCGTGAGCAATACATGCCTGAGGTGGGACTCTCAGGTGTTGCCCTTTGGGCAAATGTGGCGTTGCAGCCCAAGGTGCTTCCATAAACCCACTTCAATCAGCCTGTCCAGCTGGCACGCTTTGACATTCAGGAGAACGGCACGTCTGCGTTGCTGTGCCCTGTGGGTGCCCAAAGGGCGTATATTGATGCTACTGCCTGTATACGGCAGTCGGAGCAGCTCTTCGTTTGCCATGACGGCACTAAAAGAGGTTGTGCCCTCTAAACAGCGGCTGCCCCACTGGATTGTCGATACCATCTCACATGCCTATGGGGCCTGTGTCTGCCCCCTGCCATCAGGGCTGAGATGCCACTCTACAAGGAGCATCTCAACATCTTGGGCTACCCTGAGAGGGGTGCCCCTGGAGACCATCTGCGCCGCGGCATCGTGGGCGTCGTCTGGCACATTCTCCAGGTTTTATCGGGTTAATGTCGCCACTCCCCATCCTTTGGGCGTGGTCCTTTTGCCGAGCTCCGCTGCTTCCAGTAGTGAGCAAGGGCTTGGATTCTTCATGACATTGTTGGTATAAGTCATCCAGTGCTAAAGCACCGCCTCTGGCGGTCATTAGGGACGAAATAGAACGATAGTTACGTCTGTAACTACGGTTCTATGAGTCCCGGATGACCGCCAGAGTATCCTGTCACTCAGAATTCTTGTGTGCTCGCGAGAAGATTCTGGGAACAGATCCTCTCGTGACACCGGCAGATATAGCCGGTGTCACGTGGGGTCACAGGTGACTTTGTTGGTATTGGTACTCGACCTGCGCATGCGCGCGATGGACATATCCAGTGCTTAAAGCACCGCCTCTGGCGGTCATCCGGGACTCATAGAATCGTAGTTACAGACGTGACTATCGGTTTATGATTATGCATCGGTTGATCACATCTGGTAAAGTTGGAGCTACTTTTAATTACTTTATATACTTCTGTTGGATATCATAACCTATAATTATATGTCAAAGTGTTATTGTTAGTTGATTTATATTTAGTCGATTTGTTTTTTTGTATTGTATTTATAACAGATAAGAAATGTGCTTTAATCGCAATTAATCGCTTGTTTAAGCACTGTCAAGGGGGGCGATATAGCGTGTATGTAATTACATTGCAAATACTGACTTGAGCCCCACCACTGTATGGGTTAGCCCTACCATAGATTACCTAACAAAAATACTCTGGAGCCGCCACTGATGACAGCCCCACTAAATCTAGAGTACCAGTCTCCACATGCTGACTATCACCTGTATCCGTCAATAAAGACTGCAATCCTGAGAGCTTCGCCCTGTTACATGATGAGGGATCATCAACTGTCAAAATACCAGTAGACACAATATCAATAAATAAAACATATTCAGAGTCCCCGGAGGATGAATGCACATCATTTATTTTACAGTCTTTTTAAAATCAGGCCAACATTTCCACTTGGATCGAAGCAGAAGTGTGCCATGGCATTACTGAGCTCAGGATCAACCCCTTTAGATGAATAACCCTGCAGTTTTTCATCCAGTAGTATGCAGTAATAGTGTAAGTAAACAGCTTCCATGGACCTGTTTTTTGTGAGCGTTATTCTCTGTTTTCACACTTTACTGAGTGTCCAGATACTTGCTGTCAGTCCCACTGATCACTGATCAGCTGTTAGTGATGCATGCCTGCTGCTCGGTGATCCGGCTAACGCTGCAGGTTAACTCAGGCATTTGATCTTGTCTCTGGTCTTAACTGTGATGAAGATGAAAATTGATCCTGTCATATTCTCAGTTAATGGAAACGATGTTTAACTCCACTTAAAGCATCCTGAACTGACTTACCACTGAACACATCTCAGTGATCTCCAAGAAATGTGGAGTTTCACAGAAAACATCAACAGGTAGAGTGCTGATTTAACTCAGTCTGTGTAGAAAAGAGTTCATTGTGAGAGGAATATAAACGTAGCTTTTTGAATATTAAAAAGCTCACTTGGTTGCTGTACTAAGGCTGTGTCCTTTGCAGTGGCTCTTTGCTGTATGTCTCTCTCTTGACCTTTTATATCTATCTTCAGCTACACTCTAATAAAAGCCAACATATAATCTTAGGAAATGCTTAATGATTATTTCAAAACCACACAAGGCTTCTGATGCATCACTGATGAATCGCAGTTTTTATAATCAGGCTTCTTTTTTCCATTTTGAATGCAGTATTTACCTTTATGTATTGTAGCTAGCTTAGCTATAAACCCCTTTCGATTGTAACGGGAACTGAACTGACATTCAAACATTTAATAACTCAAACAAGGAGATAGGACAATCTAATTAAAATCTTTAAAAATGTGTGACTTCAAAATTAAATAAATGTATTTATAGGAACTGGATGCTAAAAAAGCCTTGGGGAAAAGAGCAGAAATAATTATTTATACACTTTCTAAGTATGGATTTGGAAGAGAATTAACTAATTGGATAAAGGTACTTTACCACAAATTAGATAAAACAAATGGTGTAGGCTTTAAATCATTCCCTCATCACCAATTATTTGTATTCTTGCCAGTGGCGTAACAAGGTTGTGATTGGCCCTGGTGCAAATATTGTTTTGGGGCCCCCCCCCCCCATCGCCCCAAACATAAGCGCACGCTGATGCGCTCACACACGCACGGACACACACAACCACTCAGAAGCGCCACATGTAGGCTATCAACAACAGCCTGCCCTGGCCTCATACCACCACAGCCTGACAACGGCACAGCGAACTAATCACACAATCACTTTACAGAATTAATCGAGATTTCGAGGACGATGTATGACAAAAAAAACAGTCTAATTTCGTAAGTTTAGCCGTTACATCTCCTTGTTCTCTCTTGTCCTTTCTCTTTGAGAGCCGCTCTTGTGCAGGTTTCACCAACTCAAATGTAAGACTTTTTAAGACCTTTTTAAGACCACTTTGAATAGAATTTAAGACCTATTTCACGGCAAGAAAGTATGAAAGAAAATTGCTATGAAAGAAGAAATACGTCCCATAATTACTTAAAAAGTAAATGTCTTCATGTTCAACATAAGAACAATGACTGAACATAACAGCATAACAGTACACAGAAGTGTGTGTGTGTGTGTGTGTGTGTGTGTGTGTGTGTGTGTGTGTGTGTGTGTGTGTGTGTGTGTGTGTGTGTGTGTGTGTGTGTGTGTGTGTGTGTGTGCGTGTGCGTGACAAAAGCTATATGCAGAGCTCTGCTGCCTTCATGCTGTTGTATGATTGGTGTTTAGCTACGGTATTTAGCGTCCACAGCACCTCCGCTTTTAGGGTTGACGTAGACTGCTGCACTAGCGAACGCTGCACTAGCTGACGCTGCTTGAGCAAAACAAACGCAAATTTTGTTTGCAAAAGGTGCAGCGGGCTTCAAACACGTTCCCCTCCACTGGTTTCAACCAAGCACTAAATTTGATGTTTTCCAACCAAATACGGTTGAACTTACACTTCCCTATATTTATTTTAAAGTAGATTCGAAGATACCTGAGTTTCTGACTGCCGCTAGCTGAAGCTTGGTTGGTTGCTAGGTTACTAGCTGGATGTTCTCCGATAAGTGGCCCGGGGAAACAAAGTTAGTGATTACTGGTTCCATGTTGATTTATTTCAATACAGATTGTTGGGGGGAACTGAAAGGCTCTTACCGTACTGGTTACTTTGCAGCCCGGACATTTCCCCCAAAACACATTTAGACGCGATCGCAACACAGAAGTACCTTTCAAATCCCATCATTTTTAAGACCTTCTAAATCATATTTAAGACCTTTCTTATTTTTTTGATCATATTTAAGACTTTTTAAGGCCTTAAATTCTGATTATCAAATGTAAGACTTTTTAAGACCCCGCGGGAACCCTGATTATAAATGCAGGCTATTCAATTTTGTATGCTGCCGAACTTGCTGCTGCCAGACAAATTACAAATTAATTTAGGTTGCTTGGTTACTTTGAAGACTGCGTGAACCGGCCAATGCCATTGGGGCCCCGAAAAAAAAGATGTATATATTACATTATATGTCACTTGTTAGACGCTTTTATCCAAAGCGATTTACATACTCAATACTGTGGATAATCCCCACAGGAGCAATTTGGGCTGAAGTGTCTCAGGGACACAACGACATGCTGGCTGCAGTGGGGTTTGAACCTGTGATCCTCTGACCCCCCTGATCCGATCACCAATGCACTAACCCACTGCGCCACACAATGTGCCCATATATATGAAAACATTTAATTTTTTTTTTTGCATGGGCCCCTGCCCGGCTCTGGGCCCCGGTGTGTTGCACCGGCTGCACCGGCGATAGTTACGCCACTGATTCTTGCTCTTAAACTTCAAATTAGATTTCAGTAAAAGGAAAGCCATTCCACTAATCTTCACACTTTCCAATCACATTTGGACAACCCCCCTTTAAGTGGAAACCAATTGGCATGAAATACATATAGGAAGGACAATTTGATCCCCCATTGAAAATATGGTTGAGTAAAAATGCATCGGACCTTCTTAAGACTTTAAAATATGGACAGTCCTACATCCAGATCCATCTGGGGCAGATCTGAACACATTTATTTCAACACAGCTGGACTTCCTTATGTTATCTCAGGCTTCCTTATAAAAAATATAGTCGGGCTAGTAGATATTCACCAATACTTTATAGCATAATATATATACATAATTCAAGATCCGCCCTGCAGAGGGCTTATAATGATGTGAGAAGGATTGGGAGTTAGGAGCGGCTTGAAGCGCAAATTATAGAAGAAGAAAACAAAGATCTATCTTTTATGTTACAACCCATAAGTCACTACCAGAAATCACATCACACTGTTACAATTTTGTTTATTGCGGGTGTCAGAAATGGAAATATGGTCCCATTTAACAAATTGAAAACACAGTTTGGCCTGAAGGAATGGAAATCTTTATTTATTATGTAACTACTTTCTTAGGGCAAACACATGGGAAACAATAGACGGATTAAAAGGAGCTGCTGGCAGGTGTTTGAGTTCTGACATCAACTAACCACAATAGGAAGGTGACATGGGCTTATCACACTTAAATAGTACTATCAAAATGTAGAACTTGCAAATAAAGATGATCCAAAGGGCCTACACTGTACATTGAACAGAATTGATCATACTTTACCCAAATTGTGCTGGCATGGTACACTCGTGTCCTCCTGAAAACCTTTTCTTAATATAGTCTTCCAACCTTGACTTGTATATTTGACGTGACAACTGCCATTATGCAAGCAGGAATCAAAACATGGTATAAAGCACTGGTCTTCCTGTCAGCTAAACGGATTGTTTAAATGAATGGCAAACAACGTAAATCAAACTGAAGGGAAAGGACTTTATGGACTTTTCTTCCTCCCTTCTCCTCTTTTTTCACCCTTTTTCGCTCTAACTCTCTTCCATGCTTGCCATAACAAAAGACAGAAAACACAAATAAATGA